TGCGTTTGCACCCAACCTCCCTTCCCCCCTGCCTCCCTCCTGTTCACTCTTCCTGCACGCTCGACCGCATCACCATCGCCACAGAGAAAAAGAGCAAGAAGCGAGCGAGAGAAGAGGCGGCGGATACGGGTAACGGGGGGACTGCAGACAGCAGCGATAACGCTAGCGGTGGCGGCGAAAAGAGACCGCGAGGAAAGCAGTCAGAAGAGGAGAAGCAGCCGCAAGATGCGGCGGCCGGCGAAGGAGCCGAGGGTGCGGGAAACGGTGGTGGGGTAGATGCGGCCACTCGCAAGGCGTTAGCCAAGGCGGCCGTCGGCGCTGTGAAGAAGGTGGGCGGGGGGTGATGATGCCCCACGAAGGGCAGTCGGCTGTGCTCTTCTGTAGGTGTTTTGGCTCGCGTTGTGTTTTGATCTAGCAATGCGCCCAAAACTATCGCGTCATGTCACGAGGCATACAGCAGGTGCAAGCCACCCATGAACCTCAACACGCTCAGATAACCAAGGCGCACGCCGTGTACCTACCCATCTTGTCCCGAATCTTGGCTTGAGTTCACAATGTCGCCAGCAGCAAGTCGGTCGGCAGCAAGGACATCGCTACCGTGTTTAAAACCGTCACGATCGTACCTCTCCTCTCTGCAGCCAGCATTGATTGCTGAGTGGGTGTAAACGATGTCTCTACACGTGGGTGCCTTAAGAACGACGGTTTGACAAACTGCGGGTGGCTTGTAGTATTCTGAATAGTTGCGCCCCGATTGGCCAGCCTTTCTCCTGGTAGCCGTTTTTTTTTTCGCTTGGTGTCTTTCATGTTTTTTTATTCCTAACCCTTTCTACCTCAACTGTTCTGTCTCAATTTCTACCAGGCTCAGGACAAGAGGATAGCGGTGAAGGAACTTGTCAAGAAGGCGGCGGCGGCGGTGTTGGTGGCAAGAGGCACGGAGGGCAGCAGCAAGGAGCACCAGCCGGACGACCAGTCGCTGAGGCGTGCCCTTAAGCAGCGGTTAAAGACCGGAGGGCTCCGCCACGTGACGGTGGAAGGGAAGGTGGCCGTCTACTCCAAGGGATAGGGTTAGGCCCAATAGTTGTCGCCGTTGTTCATAGTCAAGGATGGCAGTGAAGGGTGTGGTCGCGGACAGATATTGCGCGGGGGGCTCTTTTCCTTTCGGCTGGAGTAGAGTCGGGTATCGTAGGTCTTGGGTACGGTAGAAACCAACTGAGAGGGAGAGAAGAAAATGCGAGCACCGCTCCGGCCGCAAGCAGCGATCGCCCGGGAAACGATGCGAGCGCGTGTGCATTCGGAGGTCTGCCTAGTAGTATACCCGCCTGTGGCGTTAACATCTATCTTGGCTTTTGTATCGGAAGACGGAGCTCCATGTGCTACCCAAAAGGATGAGCCATCGACCGAGTAGCAACAGCGTAGACCGAAGTTCCGGCGGCGTTCCATCAAGTGCGGCGTACGTTTTAGCTTACGTCGCGTCTGTATTCTTATCTGTGGTTCCATCTTGCGTCTGGACCGATCGGATTTGTCAACGGTCGCGAGACCTATGATACAATACCCACAAAAAACGAATCCCAAGCAACGAATAGAGCTTCCGCTGGCGTGTCAATCCCGTGACACACGCAGATGCGTGAAAACCAAAATGGCTAAGAGCGGCCAATTGACCAAGGTCAAAGCAAGCAGTACCACGCCAGATACAACAAGCTGTGAACACCGAGACAAAACAACCTCTCCTCAATGCAAGCGGCTGCGGTTGCTTTGAGGCACGGCCCAACGCATCGGCGAAAGTCCAACAAAAGAGACAAGCTCGCCGCCCGCCTCTACGATGGTCCCGATCTCCCGACACCGACCCTCCCTTGCTGAGGGTTTCCGCCAACTTCGAGTCCGAGGAAGTTCTCTAGTCGAATCACGGGTGTTTGCGATACCCTGATCCGTCTAGTACATCGCCAGCCCTTAATTGAGCCGGCGTATCTAGAGCATGCCAAGAACACCTGTAGCGAAAACTATGAAACTGAGGGTAACTACGCCATAGACCACAACACCTCGTACCTACAAGCTACCGCGCGCTGCAGGCGGAATGTACACACGATTGGGTACCGCTTGTACTGCGCACACGAAGGCCACCGGAATTAGGGCGCGCGCAAAGATAGCAGCGACCGAAAAATCGGTGCGGAAGAGAACAGACAAACAGCATCACAGGCCCACACCGCCATCCCCTCTCCGCCACGGTTGGCGCAACGGTGCTTGATCAACTCGCCCGCCACCCTCACACCGCTATCCCTGATGACCCTTGTACCCCCTGCACTCGCCATGCACCTTGCGCACCGACGCCGAAACTCGACCAGAAACACACCGCAACCGGAAAACTTCGATCAAACGTAGCTCGGAAAGAATCGAAAATATCCTGCCGTATTCTCCCATTGTGGTGAAGCGGGAAGGGGCGCGTCATTTGTCGCTTCTTCGACCCAGCGCAACAGCCCGGTGCATCGCATTGCCCTACACCGAACCGTGCACGGCTCCCTACAGAGCATGAGGTCGGCAGGTGCGGGGTAACGCCTGTGTCCGAGGGGGGGGGGGCGTACTTGCATGCCTTAGCGGTTAGACCATTGACCACGCGTCCTCGAGAGGACGGAGCATTGTTCCCACAGGACCGATCACCGATGGCCAATCGTTCCTTTCTACTTGCCAAAGGTGGCTCAAGAATGTCTTCCCTATTCTGTCTATCCTAACGATATCCCTTCCCGCCTTTTCAACCCACCTCCTATGCCCCAGTACAGTTACCGTCCTTTCCTCCCTATTCCATGCCTCAAACATCTCCCTGTACGTCCCATCTATTTTTCCCAGCTCAGTCACGTACACTTCCCTCTCCTTCTTGTACAACGGACATTCCGCGACTACATGAACACGGTCTTCGCATTCGAAGCCGCAATCACATTTGAACTCGTCGTCTTCCTCGTCTACCGTCCTATGTCTTCGTCGACGTTCTCGAAGGCCTATGTCCCCGGTCCTGAATTTGACCTTAAGCTTTGTTCCTGCATCCATTGGTCCATGTAGGTAGTCCTTGAACCCTATTCCTTCCTTCAACATTCCGTACACTTCTAGACCCTCCTTATCCTTG